AAGTACCTTTCAAACGGAAAAAAAAGATGTGTAGTATGTTTGGTTTAACCTGAGAAGAGGTGTAGTTCTCTACTGTAAAGTGGTGAGAGTATCTGAGTATATTCACAAGAGCTTGAGGAAACAAGAGTACTTATAGATGAAAAAAAATAATTTTGGATAAAAATATATTAATAAGTGTCTTGAAATGTGGAAAGTGGATAATACTCCTCATTTTTCTAGCGTATCGGACCGCTTGCGGTTCCTACATCATTTTTACTAAAAGACAAAAAAAATTGAACCACTTGCGTGACATTTACTTTTTTGCTATAATTTATTAAAATTTATGAATGAAAAATAAAAGCCAGATGATACACTTAGGTGTGCCATACACTAATAAATCACGTTCCCATTCATACACTAAATGTTGAGAAACGAATAAACATTGTTTAATGCATTGATGATTGATTATAAAAACAACTCATGTCACCTTGGAACTCGTCATCTGATCATATCTCTCTCTGCATGCTTCCACTATGAGCCGTTTTGTAGCTGATGATACAGTTTTAGAGGCTTCATGCTATCTTGTCGCTTCATTCTTTGATCCACACGTGTCCAAAACTTTTAACACATTGACATTCTATTAGGGATAGGAACCTATTAGGCGGATTTCGAAATGTATTTAATATGAAGCACCAGTAGCGGATCGAACTATTTTTCATTCTTCCACAAAATCAAACGAAGAAGAAGAAGACATACATAAATTAAGGTTTGTTTTTGTTGCCGAATGTTTGCAAAATTAGTAGACTGAGATCAAATGTATATTTAAAGGCACATACCTCCTATTAGGGATAGAAACCTATTAGGTTGATTTCGAAATGTATTTAATATGAGGCACCAGTGACGGATTTTAGAACTATTTTTCATGGGGACATAGATACAAAAACAAAAATATGAAAAGGGCATAAATTTTTTTCTGATCAAAAATACTCCATATATAAAAAATTCATCCGGGGCATAGTACCATAACTAATAGTTGTATTATTGACATCTAAGTAAATTTCCCTTAATTACATATAGGGAAAAAAAATTAGTGTGGGTCACATGCCACACACTCCCCCTCTCTAGTTCCGCCACTGGGTATATGAACCATATATATAGGAACCTATTAGGCATATGAACCATAGGAACCTATTAAGGATAGGAACATATTAGGGATAAGTCCCTTATTACTACTACTT